TTTAATGTGTTTGTAGTTTCGGTCTTATTGCGCTGATTAACACTTGTGTGGTTGCTAAAGTCTGCAAAGGCTATTTAAAGCAATTCTTAATTGCTTTCTCCTCCGCTTTGTTATCAGCGCCAATCAAAGAAGCTTAACCCCGTTCAGTGTAGCTATTTTAAAATACATTTGTCATTAACGAGACAATATTTGTAAATAATCTTACTTAATAAATTCTATTTTATTCATATTTCGTCTGTATATTTTGAATATTTTGATAATCACGTAATTTTGGTTCAAAGCTCACACTGTATATCGGTTACCAAAGCATTACAGTGATATCCCTTAAGAAAATATTATTATTATTTTTTTTTTTGTTTGCTAAAGAAATCAACTATAGGAACTTCATTTACCAAACTTAACACGGAACTTAGGACTGAAGAAAATAAGCAGAAGAATTGGTGCTAAGCAAAAAAAAAAAAATATTTCTCTCTTTCACCGGGATCTTCAAAATGTAATAATTACGAAACAAGAATTGTATAAATAGTAAATGTAAAAAATAGTTTTCTGAAGGATCTTTGGAAATTCAAACAAGTTCTAGTTTAGAGAAAAAGTTGAAAATACATATATTATATTTCACTACGTCTCTACAAACTCTTTTTTAAATCATTTTTTATAGCACATTTTTAAGAAAACACCACTTATACTATATGTATATTGATTAATGACAAAAAAAATTGTATGTAATATAACTCCTTTCACTCAACTTCAGAAAACCAAAATATGTAATTTCTCAAAAATAGTTTCTTGACTCACTTGCGCACAACCGTTTTCCTCGACACTTGAAAATCTTTTGAACCTTTTTCTCGGAGTGGTGGTATACTTATTGCCGCTGCCTAACACGGGTTACGCACTTTGTGGTCGGTAGGCTTATCAGGCCGGCTAGACAAAAAACATAAAAAATCATAATGTGTATGCTAAATCAGTATTTGTAAATATATGTATATGTATATGAAACTCTTAAACACCCATAGTTCGTGTATGGTTTGGTGATATGGTCCACTAAGAAACCAACTCCCGTTATCACCGTTATCAGCGAAAGCAGCGCCGGCAACATCATCGCACGATGTGTTTCTAACGTTACCACTGCTGCTGGGGATTCTTAGCGTGGTTGTAGTTGTTGTACATAGGCATCTTGTGCAGCGATAAGACAATGACGAGGCGGGCACAGAACTTCGAACGGTTCCAATGACACTTTGGTCAAAGGTTTATTAAAGGCAGAAACGAAAAATATATATAAATGTAGTACTCATATTATTTTTGTGTTTATTTATTTAAATACTTGGCATTATTTCCCCAATAAATGAATGTTTACAGATTAAGACGTTCGATGACTCTTTGGCATATGTGGTAAAATGTTTCAAGATTAAGTTATTTAAGGCATATACCACTGTATGTATGTATAGCATGCATAAAGTATATTAGAGTGGGTAAACTGAAATTTATTATTATTTTTATTCATTTTATCTCTGGTTTAAACTGGTTGAACCACAACTCAAATATTTCTCTTCTAGTAGCGCGTAAATATTAATTCAAAGGTCCTCCGCTTTCCAGTTTTTCTATTAATTCCTTATTGTTGGAAATATAAATTTATATCATTCATATGAAATTATATAATTATCGATTTTTTTTACACATCCTAATGTATATGTATTTTATTTAACCTGGACGTATCTAGAATACCCTTTTAGAATATTTCGAGGCCACAAAGTAGTATATTTACCTTGTGTAGAAGAATTCAATTTTGAAGTCAATATTTTTAAGAATTTTTATTTAATTGCAATATTTAAAATTAAATTGATCTTTATAGTTACAATGTACTATAAAATAGGTGTATGTAATGAAAAGAGATTCACCATTTCTGCAATAGCTGCCTTCTTTAATATGGTACACATTATGGTATTATATATAAAAGATATAGGTAATTGACCAAAGACGCACGTCTAAACTGCGAGCTGAGACAATATGCCACTTTTCGTTTGGCAATAGGAGTGGCATGATTTTGACAGCCCGTGGCGGCCACGCTTGTTTACGAAGTTATGTCAAGTTTTGTCAGTGTGATAACTAACGGGGCATCTCGACAGGATAAAATTTATGTCTTACCAACTGCATTGCCGTGCCTATTATGTCTCCATGGAGACTGCATATTACTTATTGCTTAAAATATATGGAATACTAATTAGTTTGCCATATATTGTAAGCAATAAGCTGTCACTTGTCAGCAGTTTAACAGCGCAGTTTTCATTGCTATGAAAATTTCCAAGAGGCAATATATCCCATTTCCCATATGCCGACGGCATTTTCATTTCGGTAGTATGAAATTTAGAAGAGCGAGTACTAAGACGGTTGTGTTATATTATAAAAATAAAATACATTTTCAAAATAACATTTTTCCAACATATTAATATTGAGTTCAATATTGTTAATTTACAGAAAAATCATGCAAATTGGGTTGGGAATGAGCGAAGTCTTAAATTTAATACACATAAATCGAAATATCATTGCTCATATTAAATTTAATATTTTAATTGGTATATAAAATGTACGCCACAATCATTATATAGTAGTCCAAAAATATAAATTCTTATTTTTCCCAGAAATACATTGGTAAAAAAAGGATCGTAATCCTTTTTTTATTTTCCTCATAAAAGATTTAAACAGTTCAAGAGCTCAAAACATGCGCTACATCAGCTCAAACTTACTTACCCGACGACATTTCGCAATGTGATAAAATACTATACATTTTTCAAAAGCTCAAAGCCTTGCGCAAATGATTATGTTATGATAACAAATGCCCACATACAGATTTGGCAATGGCAATAAATTTTATTCTGTCGAGATGCCCCGTAAGGCTTGCTGTGTTATGATGTTATGTTTCATTTTGGTACAACGCTTGGAAATTAAAAAAATGTATGTTCTACGGTGCCAACTGTTAGGGCTCTTCGTGCAAAACACGCTCTTGTCAGATGACACGCATTTTGGGCTTAATGACTTGGTCAAGAAACAAAATTTTCATCATTCGGCTCAGCCAAATCCACGTGTGGTTCTGGAAATTCAATTGCAATTCCAAAAACTTACCCTATAGTGTGGGTTGTAGTATGGCGAATGCCATTATTTTCTTCGGAGTGAGACATGAAACGTAGTTACCAAGAAGGCGTTTGAACAAGAAGGCGTTCGACCTTTTATCCCGGAACTCCTGTTTCCAAAAGGACGGTGCGGCGCCTTATGCTTCACGTCTAAACATGGACATATTACGTGCAGAATTTAGCGATTCCTTTATTTTGAGAAATAGCGCGCTCAGTTGGCCACCAGTATCTTGCAATTTAACGGCTCTATAATAATTTTTTTTCTGAGAGTATTTTAAATCAAAGGCTTAGGCCGATCATCCAACAACGCTCGAGGAGCTTGAAGACAACATTCAGCGTAGTGGGGCCGAAATTCCAACCGAAATGCTGGACCGGTCACCGAAAATTTGGTGTAAAGTGGTACGGATATGAAATCGGAGGTGGGATTATTTGGCATACATTTTGTTCAAATAAATAACAAAAAAACAACAGTACCCGTTTTGACCAATTTTTAGTGTTTTATTCATTTTAACATGGTTTCTATTTGTTTAGACCCTTTATTTAAAAATCATTCGAATATTACAAGTTCCACTTTTCGGAAAATGGAAATATAAATACAACTCGCTTTCGACGAAAGATAATTCTAAAGAACAGTAAATAAAATAATGAACAAAAGTTTACATATAACTTAGGAAAAATACTAGTCATCGTACCTTATCTGACTCTGCGGCCTACGACAACGAAGAACTGATTAATGTCATACAAGAAATAAAAAACCACTAAGGCCATCTACCCATTATCATACCGATGTAAGTATATTCAATAATATAAAGGATAGAAGACTTTTCATAATTTTTAATGCTGGCAACGATTAGTGTTTTTACTAAGATCTCTGCATCAATGACATGCGATAACTCTCTTGATTGTTTGTTCTATTGGCTTATTTACTCAAAAAGTAACTAATTACTTGTTTTCTAATAATTCATTAGTTCATGATAAGTTTCCGAATCTATAATCAGCTCTACCAGTTGTAGTCCTTTTGTACCTTTAGTGCTTCTATAGAACACATATAACCGATCCGCCATTTTTAGTTCAAAGCTACACAGATGAAGAGGTTTATGAAATAACTGCACTAATTACTGACAACACACCCTCTTTCCAAAATGTTTTGAAATCAACGCAATTCCCAACAAGACAAGAACTTTACATAGGTTTGCTGAAGTTATCTGCCTATCAAAAATAAACCAACGGTTCGCCGAATCAATCTACCAAGTAGTTAATTTAAAATGTTTCAAAAAATATTCAATGATCTTTTACTAAGGACCATCAGTTACGTTATCAACTTTTACACTCTTTTCAACATTTTTCCATATTCTAGTTGTAAATATTACAGTTATGGTATAAGAATGGGAAACATGACTCGGCAAAATTGTATGATTACGCATGTTCATAACCCGTAGCATTTCAGAAACAATAAACGCTTAACACCGATCCGAAGGTCAATACAAAGAGGCAATGATACAGCCGAAGGGCCTGTCGCTAGTGCCATTATAATAAAATAGTTCATAGTTAATATGCCGCAGCATAACAAAGAGTTAAACACAATCTTGTGATTCAACCTCAAACCCGGCGAAGGCTATTTGCTTCATTCAACATAGATGCTTCTCCCAAATTATCATCATCGTATATCATTCTAGGGTGGTTTCAACCGAACATTGTAGGTAATAATGGGCCCAGAACAACACACTCGGCCCAAAATCATATTAAAGTAGCTTCTTCGACAGTAATCGCTTCCAAAACCTCTCTTCATAATTATCCATAATGCAACGCTCGACAAATACCTAGCTAATCAGACACTAACTCTAAACACTAAAAAAACTCTTTAGAAAAGTACACGCAATTTGTTAATATTTTATTTATAAAGACGATCGATAACTTTGGCATACTTTTGTAAAATAACATTACGTCGAGACTTCAATGTGGGTCCTAAAAATTAAGAAATGTCTTTCGTATCTCTCATAAATCTGACACATGTACAACACTCACCCAATTCACCAGTAGGTATTGAGAAATCATGTGGCAAAATCGCAAACTTCTGCACTTTCTGCGCATTCGATAATGAGTTTTCGTTTGCACGCTCGATTCCCTTCTGTATTTCAGCCACCACCTTGGGTTCTGGATGCACTTCCACTGTTCCTGCATTGAAGTCTTCCAATTGAGCAGGAATACGCAAGACTTCTGAAAGACGAGTGTAGTTGAAGCCCAGAGACTTAAACCATTCGATGGCAACTGGCTGTAAGGTGTCCAAGGGCCTTCCAGTATTAACATCCATATCGGTCTGTAGTGGTAGAGAAAAATTGCACAAACGGCAACATCAAAGTGTCTACAAATGTACCTTGATTGTCAGAAGTATAGCGAGATATTTTCGTTTATCGCCAACAAGTATGGCATTGCTCACACAAGGTAACTCCTTCTTTAGTAGGTTTTCAACGTACACCGGCGGTATATTCTCACCGCCAGCTGTGACAATCAGCTCCTTTAAGCGGCCCGTTATTATGATATCGCCAGATTCGTTTAGATAACCGCTATCGCCCGTGTGAAACCAGCCGTCTGCGTCGATAGCTTTCTTTGTTTCCTGTGGTTCGTTCAAATAACCCATAAATATGTAGCGACCACGAAAGCAGATCTAAATTAACACACTTTTGCTAAATTTTTATTGCTTTCAAAGTAAGTCTACATTAAAACGTTACCTCGTTTCGACCTTCCTGGTCGATCTTTTCGATTTTTACTTCTAAGCCTGGGTAAGGTTTTCCAGCTCCATTAATTTGTAGTGCTTCTGAAGTTATCGTAGAGCCACCGGAAACTTCGGAGAGGCCATAAGTCTCAAGTATCGGTAGATCTATGCTAATAAAAAATGTCTTTAGGTCGGCGGAAACAGGTGCGCCACCGGCGTTTATCAATTTACAACGATCGAGACCTAAAGAAACTTTAATTTTGTGCGTAACAAAAGAGGCTAGCCAATATTTGATAGAATATTCCGGCTTTCTAGAAAGATAAATCTTCGGTTTCGGTTTGTTAGCTAATTAATCCGTCATCACAACTCACCCCTCCCCTGAATGCTCTCGGTAACTTTTTAGGGTTGCCCATCGTGCGTACTTCATAACGCCTTGCGTTAGCCACGACGACGCTGCCTCCTGCTGCTGCAAACGCTCTCGCATCTTCTCTAAAACTCGTGGTATCGCAAAGAATCTCGTAGGACGCGCTATAATCAACGTTTTCTGTAAGCTTCCGCGCATGGCATCACTGTCTGCAAAGTAAATGCAGGTGCCAGTATTGGCGCTATTGAAAACGTCGGAATTTTGAGCTGCGATGTGGCTCAACGGCAAAAAGCTCACTTTTACATCGCTGCCATCCGCGAAGTCTCTGTGAAAGGTAGCAGATTTCGAATTAGCCAGAATATTGTCATGCGATAGCATAACTGCTTTTGGCAAACCTACGGTTCCAGACTATGAACGTGAGAATATTAGTAAAATTGAGTCTAAGATTTAATTCGAAATTACTTACGGTGAAAACTAGCATGGCACATTCATTAGCCGCCTGATCTCGTTCGCGCTCGATTAGTTCAGCTTTCAGCTGTGCATCGAATTTCATAGTAATCAAGTCGTCCCAACGATAATACCCTTCAACGCTGCCCACAAACTCATCAAAAGGTCCAAAGAGCTGAATAACGGCGCGCAAATGTGGCAAACTTCCTTTGACTTGGCGCACCTTTGCCATCTGCTTGGCGTTGTCCACCACACAAACGGTCGCTTCCGCCGTTCCGAGCACATGACGCACTGCTTTCGGCGAACTGGTCAGATATATGCCGGTCACAATGCCACCAGCGCGCAAAGCTCTCATTTCGGTGTAAAGCCATTCCGGACAATTGAAGGCGAGTATGCCGACTGCGGTGCGCGGACGTAGACCTACATACATTAGAGCGAGCGCAACCTGCTCCGCATTTTGCTCATATTCTGCATAAGTAACCATTCTCCCAGATTTCGAACTCGCACCGTCACCGTCATTGTTTGCATTGTGGGCATGGTAAAGTGCGGGCAAATTCGCATACTTTTGGCATATTTCGTGGAAAAATTGTGGTATGGTTTGAGGCGGAGTCGACGCCAAGTCGCCTGCGGTAACGCGTAGCTTTACCGGTTCCGTTAGAGATGTGGATGTGTAGCTGGTGGCATCTTTGAGGTTAGTGGCTGACAAAAGTTGTAAAGTCTGTGCGTCACCCATAACAACAGCTGGTTTAAATCGGTATTTCAAGGTCTTTATATTTGCGGGTTTCTATAATGAAATGATTAAGCAACAATTAAATAATACTTAGATTTCATGGCTCAAAAGTAAATTGAAGTTCAATTGTTCTTCAAGCGCTGTAACTTGTCGGAAAATTAAACTCAAAAATATTTTATAAATATAATTTTTAAGCCTTCATGTCTTAACCGTCGGTAAGTAAGAGGTTTGTTATGACAAAGTCGCTTTATTTAAAACAAGATGTTCCTTTTAACTCAACATGTCTGGACCTATCCATAAAGAGTCCTGGCGAAAGGCAATTAAGCGTTGCCTGAAATAAAGAGGTTCCAATGGAATGGGGCAGAGCTGGAGTGTTTTCGTCCATACGTACGACATGACCTAGCCATCACAGCCTCTGTCTCCTAATTCGCTGAACTATGTCAATGTCGTCATATATCTCGTACAGCTCATCATTCCATCGACTGTGGTATGAACCGTTGACAATGCGTAAAGAATCATAAATCTTCCAGAACCTTTCTCTCGAAAACTCGTACCGCCAACTCATCAGATGTTGTCACCCTCCATGCCTCTGCACCAGATAATAGTACGAAGATGATGAGCGACTTATCTGGTCTTTGTACGTCGAGAGGGGTCGACTTTACTTCTCAAGTACCTACTCAGTCCGATGTAACATATGCATATACGAATACTAGGGTGAGCATAAAAAATTTAATTTCGAATCAAATGGTTTTAAAATATATCATTTTCTAAAGGGTGATAACTCCAGACACTCAACAAAATCTAACGGTCTTCATACCCTGAACAGGGTATATTAAGTTTGCCACGATATTTGTAACATGAAACCAGAAACGTCAAAGACCCTATTAATAAACATATATATAAATGATCATGACGAACTGAGTCGATGAGATGTGAAACTGAAATTTTGAATCTTTCTTTTTCTGAGCAAAAGCTCGTATAGAAATTTGGTATGGATTATTCTCCTAAGCGGTGGTGCAATCTCCGAGTAAATAGTTTAGATTACTATGTCATACAAGCTGAACGAGCGGAATGAAGGGCTTGTATGGAAATGCTTTTAATTTTACGAGATATCTTCATGAAAGTAGTATTACAATTTCGGAAAAAAATTTCAGATCGAGTCACTATAGCATATATATACATGGGTTCTAGAAAGATATATTTTGTATTTATGAAGGGTATTATGGTGTGTTTGTTTATTTAAATACTATATAGACAAAATTTAATCTGTAAATTCGATTTAAATTTTTTTTTGCTCACCCTATGTTTATGCCACCTTTATCCATATTCGGCAGCTGACAATTGGGAAGTATTTTATAAGTGTGTTATTGTAGTACGTATTTAAGTACGTATCAATCTTACTATATATGTACTTCGATTCGTATCCTCCAGCAATGATCGTTAGTCGTTCATCTCCAGTAGTTATCTTTGCTCTTCTTTTCTTCTTCTTTACTATTACTAAATGATAGCAAAACAAGTTTTCTCCCTACGCACTGGGAGGATTAAAAAAAACAATTTTTGTTTTTTTACTGGAGACGAGCTCCGTTCTTTATTCGATGCAACGAAAATACCAAAAGCCCTCTTATAATTAATTGTTACTTCTATTTATACAATATTTTATAACTTAGTTCTATATTATATGTT